AATGTGTCCCAACAACTTTTGAAAGTGATTGTAATATACCTGCTTACTAATTCCGCTAAAAGTTTAATAAGGTTTTTTAAAAACCAGTTTCATTTGTCAGGCTGAAGTGGTTCTTGTATGTTGGGTGCTTAATTGCCCAAATTTCAGGCTGATGGTTCTTAGCCTTAGGGCTACTTTGCGATGGTAAATCGCCTTAAACCGCCTAAACTCGCATTATCTCCGGTGAGTTTAGATGCAGGCCAGGTCTACTTTTGGGATGGGAGTGACTCCCCTAAAATCGCGGGCTAAATTAATTGACTGAAGTTTTCTTTAAATCGCCTATAACTCTAACTTATTATATAGCGGTCCGTAAAAATGTTTTGCTTTTTAATTTTCCAATTGTGTGTCATTAAAATTTACAGATAAAAATTTCAAACAACCAAATTGGTTTTGATTGAGCATGCATGCCTACCGTATATTGTTACCCAGTGAAACTGACGATAGCCGATTAATTTGCGCGAAAAGCATATGCTCACAGTCACAGACTCAGTTCAGCCATATAATAAACCGATTATTGACCTCGCTTGTTCGGTCTGTGCTGTGAAATATCAGATCTCCGTTTTTTGCATGGACCTCGCTCCTTCGTCGCTCGGTTCATACTAAAACACCTCGGTCTGATATTTCACAGTACAGACCTCACGCTCGGTCAATAAGCCGTTATTATTTCGTGGCGAGTATTATGGTCCCAGAGTAGGCCTGCCCTTACCGCACTTCATGGTTCTTTTATGCGGGGTTTTACTGTATACGCTCAAGCTACGGCGCTATCATGCAGACTGCAAGTACGGGCCTGGAATCGCCTTCCCCGGCAACGGCGTCAAAAATTGGCGCAGAGCCCAGCGTCTCTCTATACGGCAATTTTCGTCAGTTCTACGGCATTTTTCATGTAATATGTCATATGCATTGTGGGTGGCACCTCAGTTGTGGTAGAAAATCATTCTTCTGCGTTTAGAGATTTCAATATTTATTACGATTACACATAAACTACAAAACATTTTATGAGTAACATTACAACATCTACAGGTCCTACAGGATACACAGAGAAAAATCATTACATAATTTTCTGTATACTGATAACACCAATTCCCCCCAAAATTACATTAGTCATTACAGCTAAACTAACTCCCATAGTGGTCCACGGCATTTTCCTCTCGAACTACGGCAATATTGCCGCGAGTACCGTGATAAAATATCAGCCCTGCTACAATATTGCTTTCAATAATATCATTATTAGCATATACCTAATTTGCTGACAATTTGCATACATTTTTAGGCTGATGTACACTACGGGAGTTTCTACAAGAAAAGTGCCATTATTAAATATTAAGGTGACTTAGGTTTACATTACGTGATTCACAATTTTGGATTATCCAAATCACAGAATAGAGACAAACAGAAGGTCGCCACGCCATAATTTGCAATGGTTCGTTATCAAAATGCTGTCGCCATGGTCCTATATACCATGCACGATATATCTTCCTGTACTCACAACTAGGGATGGGCGATACTAGCTTTTTCATTCGATACGATATTACTCGATATTTGCCATTTTTTTTCGATATCGATATTGGTATATCGATATTTTCCCAACTCGAACAACCACAACAACAAAAGACTATTTTCATCTCTTCGACGCCAAAATCATGCTGGTTGAATACGTTTTCAACACGTTTATTCTCATGATTGTAACTAACATAACCACGAACTCTGTATTTACGCCTATTTAGGCTTTTTGGGTATCATTGTCATGATGAGTCCGCTGAGCAAAATAAAAAATATCGCAGGCTCAGAAATATCGAAACAATCGATATTTCTTCCCAGTATCGATACTTTTCTTCAAAACCCTGGTATCGATAGTATCGAGCATTTGGTATCGATATCGGCCCATCCCTACT